AGGGCACAGTCCGGGCTGAGGGACCCCCCCCACCCCTGAATGCATGAATTTTGTGCACTGGGCCTCTAGTATTGAATAATTTTATCAAAAGAAAAAATTAGCCCCTTCTCAGTTTTAAAGATAAGTTAGAGGCCAATTAAATATAGCTATCTGACACCGGCATTTTAAAAAAATATATTTCTTTATTGATTTCAGAGAGGAAGGGAGAATGAGAGAGATAGAAACATCAATGATGAGAGAGAGTTACTGATGGCTACCTCCTGCACGCCCCCCACTGGGGATTGAGCCCACAACCTAGGCATAGGCCCTTGGCCAGAATCGAACCTGGGACTCTGCAGTCCACAGGCTAGCGCTCTATCCACTGAGCCAAGCCAGCTAGGGCTGACACGGCATTTTTAAAAAATATATATTTTACTGATTTTTTTAAAGAGAGGAAGAGAGAGGTATAGAGAGTTAGAAACATTGATGAGAGAGAATCATCGATCAGTTGCTTCCTGCACACCTCCTACTGGGGATGTGCCCACAACCAAGGTACATGCCCTTGACCGGAATCAAACCTGGGACCTTTTAGTCCACAGGCTGATGCTCTATCCACTGAGCCAAACCATTAGGACTTGACATGGCATTTTTAACAGCTATATATATATATTATGCAAAGTACTCAGTAACTTATACTTTTACTTACCTTATTTACATGCCAGGTACTTATATTTTGAAAAACCTTTCCACCTTCTATAGGTCACTTATTTTTCTACTAGGTAAGAAGATTCAGCCTTAGACTGTTTTTCAGAACAAAAAGTCTGCTTCTAGTACAAATGGAAGAGACTGACATAGAAATAATTGTTACCAAATGTTGACAGATTACATCCCAACTGAAAATTATTTCTAGTCCATCCACCCAACTTTTAAATTCATGTTGACATTTAGAAGAAATTAGACATCTTTAATGAAATTAAACAATTTTTATTACTAAAAACTATAATACTTTGATCCAACAATGGGATGGAATGAAATAATACAGATTTGTATCTTTTTCACTTATATTTTAGAATTTGAAATTAAAAAATAATCCAGCCATAAACAAGCACAGAAACCTAAAGGCAGATGAACATACACTGGCACTGTTTAATGAAACAGTCCCAATTTTATGCAAGACTTTATTACAGAAATAACACTTTTTTTTTTAAAATATATTTTATTGATTTTTTACAGAGAGGAAGGGAGAGAGATAGAGAGTTAGAAACATCGATGAGCGAGAAACATCGATCAGCTGCCTCCTGCACATCTCCCACTGGGGATATGCCCGCAACCCAGGTACATGCCCTTGACCGGAATCGAACCTGGGACCTTTCAGTCCGCAGGCCGACGCTCTATCCACTGAGCCAAACCGGTTTCGGCAGAAATAACACTTTTGGAAGAGATTCATTCAAATATGATCCTGAACTGAACAGCAGCCTTTAACTAATATATACAAAAAAGCTCTTAATTTCAAAAAGATTAAATTAGTATGAGTATAATTATTTTAAGTAATAGAGACTATTGAAAACCAAAAACAGAAACAATGGAAAACTTAACTGACTTTTGTTTTAAATCCTCACCAAGGACATGCCTGGAGGGGGGAAGGCAGAAGGAGAGAAACATCCAATAATTTGCCTTCCACAGGGTACCCAACTGGGGATCAAACCAGCAACCCCAGGTATGTGCTCTGACTGGGAATCAAACTGGCAACCTTTTGGTGCACAGGATGATGCTCAACCAACTGAGCCACTCTTCCCAGGTGAAAAATTAACTGACTTTAATATACAAATCAGTCAAGGGGGGAAAAAACACATCAGAATGATAATTATAACCAAATTAACAAATCAGAATCAGAATGCCAAAAATTAAGTCATTAAAAGGGAATCTAGAGAAAGGGCCAGTTGTGAAAGAACTGGAAGTGATGTACACTGCCATTTTGTAGATGAACTATTTAGTAACAGAAGTACCATACTAATCTGAAATTAACCAACCCAGACTAAGAGCTCTCAGTATTCTGACAGTGGCATCAGAAGTCAGCTGAAATAACCCTCTGGCAGTTTTTCCTTAATAATTAATTTATCAAATTGATTATGAACATACTTTTACCACTTTTAGCACAATTACCACCAGCGACAGAAAACAGGGTTTCTTTTTAGTTGTCCTAAAAAGTACCTCTTTTAGTTCTAGCATGCTGAACTATATCAAGTAGTTTACCTATATCCTGTGCACATACTTACATTTTATAGCATTTATTAATAAATCCTCTCTGCTTGCATCATTACAAGTTAAAAAGTCACTCTTTACTAAGCAGTATGTTTGCATTTATTCATACTAGTACATATGAATTATCAACAACAAACCATAACAGAGAATTAGACTTTATGGAATAATTTGCTATGTAGGGGGAAACTCTACACACATGCAGCTTTATGCCATGAAATAAAGATTTATGGGAAGTGCTGTTAAAATAACTCTAGCCCTGGTTGGTGTTGATGAGTGGTTAGAGCATCAGCCTATGCCAGTGATGGCAAACCTATGACACGCGTGTCAGAGGTGACATGCCAACTCATTTTTTTGGTTGATTTTTCTTTGTTAAATGGCATTTAAATATATAAAATAAATATCAAAAATATAAGTCTTTGTTTTACTATGGTTGCAAATATCAAAAAATGTCTATATGTGACACAGCACCAGAGTTAAGTTAGGGTTTTTCAAAATGCTGACACGCCGAGCTCAAAAGGTTTGCCATCACTGGCCTATGCACAGGGTCTTGGGTTCCATTCCAGGTCCAGGGCACATAATCTGGTTCGCTCCCTGCTCCTCACCCTTGTTTGGGAGGCAACCAGTCAATGTGTCTCTCTCACATTGATGTTTCTCTCTCTCCCCCTGCCCCACCCACTCTCTCTAAAAAGTAATGAAAAAAAAATCCTCAGGTGTGGATTAACAAAACAACAAAGGAAGTTAAAATAAACCCAGATAAAAATAAAAATAAAGAAAGCAAAATTCCATTTTCTGAGGAAAAATAATAAATCTAACTTACCAGACCATTTATGTGTCTCCCCATATTAAAATCATAAAGATGACAGAAACTAAATTGGTGTCTAACCACCTACTACTAACATCTTTAAATCCCTGTCTTAAAACAGGTTTCAAAAACAAACAAATAAAAAATACAACAAAAGCTCTTATGGACATTAAATGTAGATGGCGTTTGAAAGTCTTTAAAAATAAGTCATCCACTAAGTGAAGCTTAAATACCCAATACCAAATAGTAAAATATCAAGACAACTCATGTCCATATGTATACTAGAGGCCCAGTGCATGAAATCAGTGCACGGGTAGGGTCCCTAGTGGCTGCCAGCTGCTGGCTGGGGCCTCTCTTTCCCCAGATGCCTGCCACCAGCAGGGGCAGGGCCAACCAGGGGGATGGGCCCCAGGCGGTTGGCTGGCCAGCCCCGCCCCCTGGTCAAACTCCCAGTGGAGGGGCCAAATTGCATATTAGGCTTTTATTATATAGGATATTTTAGTTATCTTCATTGCTTTGTGAAATAATTATTTAATTCTGTAAATATTCAATATGGAACATTTTGAAATCACTTCATCAGTAAATTTATATACTAAAAAGAAAATAAAAAAGTATCAACAGTAGACTTCAAGACTACTCTTTGGTAACAAAATACACTTGGCAACACACTTCCAGCATGTCAAAATATTTATTTTTCTTATTTCTACTCTACTAAAGGACGCAACCAACAAGTACTACTGTAAACCAGACAAGATTTGTCTTAAACAAATATGACATGAAGCAAAAGAAGTGGAAAAACAACTTATTGACTACAAATATAGATGCTATCATAGCATAGTTAAGCAAATTACAGTGTTTATTTTTTTCATTTCCTTAACAAAGCATTTGCTACGGAAAGATTTGTAACCTAATCCTTTTCAAAGTTTTCCAATTTCAGTGTTATACAGAATAGCATTAACCCTAAAAATTCAGAGCCCAGAGAGGAATGTCCATCAGACTGCCTGTCTGTATGCAATGATCTTTAATGATTCTTCAAGAACTACAAAGTAAGTCATAGGAAGAAAATAAGGGAGTAGGGGGGATACAAAGTTATCTTATTTGAATCCTAATGAAAACCCAAGATGCTCACACACAAAATGTCAATCCAGTGTTTGAGAGAGAGATCGAGAGACATGAAAACTGTTCTGCCATGGCAGGCTCCCTTCTGGAGAGGCCTTATCCCTCTCCCCGCGGACAATAACAGCAGGAACGGACCTACTTCCCAGGGGCAGATCTCAGGGGAAGAGTATCCAGGCGGTACTGTTATCGATTTAAAACCAAAGGAAAAGAGTAACCTTTCCAAGGGAAGCGCCATTACTTCCCTCTCCTGCTCCCCCTCCCTTCAGGGCACACACGGGCCTGTGTCTGAAGAAACTGCCTTGGACTTCTGCAGCACTGCAGCAGTCTAACGATGGGGTAGGGGGAAGGAAGGGTAAGGGGAGAAAAACGCTTCCATCACCCCTAACAGAAGAGGGGTGTCCATTTCCTGGAGGTGGGGGTGGGGGGACGACTGGAATCCACCCAGCAGGCTCCCCAGAACAGTCTCCCTTCCCGAGAATACACACACTACAAAGGAGAGGGAGGAGCAGAGGGACCAGAAGGGAAAGGGGCCTAGCGCCTTTTAAACCGGGGTGAACATCCACCCCGTCTCCCACGGAGGGCCACACCTTCTTGGAGGCACCCCCTTCCACCACCCCTTCCGGTGACCCTCAGGACAGAGGAATGTAAGGGCTCGGGCCCCTCGAAGCCGGAGGGCGTCCACCTCGCCGCCTCCTCCACCCCACCCACGGAGTCACCGACCCTCCTTGTCTCCCTCCCCCACCCACTCCCACCGCCCTCCTTCCGCCCAGAGGCCACGGTGGGCCCAATCTCCCCGCCCCCTCCCGGTCTCCCGCACCCAAAGCAGAGGTGCCCTTACCCTTTCGCCGACAGGTCGGGGCGGAGTAGGCAGGCGCAGCCCCCTACCGCGCCGCGGGAGCCGCTACGCTGGAAGCCGAGGAGCGAGGAGGAGGAGGGGGCCTGGCGACACACCGCTGCCCCCCCGCCCCCCCGGAGCCCCGACGAGCCGCCCAGCCCAAGCTCTGCGACAAGGGGCGGGGGGGCGGGGGGGAGCGAGGGGACGACCGGGGTCGAGGAGGCGCCCTCAGCGCTGGGGCTCAGCTAAGATGGCGCGGGGAAGTGCCGGGAGCCGCCGCCGCTACGGGGGAACCGGCCCGGGCCTCGGCCGCCTCTCGTCCTCACACAGCCGAGGCCCTGTCGGTCCCCCGCCGCGGCCCCTCGGCGGGCAGGCCCACGCACAACCCTCTGCCGCCACCACCACCACCCCTGGGAAGGGGGCGCTCACAAAGGGAAGAGAGGCCGCGGGCCGGCCGGCCGGCGGCGGCGGGGCGGGGTCCCCAGGGGCCGGGAGGCCTCAGAGGTTCGTGGGTGCCTAGCGCTCTCGGCCCGCGAAGGGCGCCGGCAGGCGGGACCCCTCCTCTCTCCTCAGGCAGGCGGCGGCACCAACTCACTCTCTTGGCCACCCTCCCTCTCGCTCTCCGAGCCCTGAAGCCACAGAGGCCGGCCGCTGCCCAGGTTCCCCCCCCTTCCCCGACACCACTCCCCTCCTCCCGAGAGTCAGCCCAATCTCCGATCTCGCGAGATTTCCCGCCTGACAGGCCCGACCCTGCGCGAGACACGCCTGCGTGCGCGTGCACGGCCTCCGAGAGCGCGCGAGGGCTGGCGCGCGGCGGATTCTCGGCCGGGGTGGCCCCATCCCCAGCCTCTGTCCAGCCTGGCCGCATTCCGCTGGCAGCCCTTATGCCACGCCGGCGTCGGGTGCATTCATGTCACCCTGGAAGCGGAGAAAGAAGAGCTGATCTGCTCTCCTGCCCTCTTCCCATTCCCAAACCCCCGCCCGCCACTAACCCCGCCATTGAGAAGTTGGCCCTGACATGTAGACTATCCCGTTCTTACGTACCTGAGCTCAACCCCTCCGTGGGGTTTAGAGGTAAACTGGTCAGTGTCATCCGTATGTAAGTGAGTTGTAAGATTCTAAGAGTTTATAATCATTTTTGGAATGGTAATAAGAGAAATACAGATCTACACCACCCTGTATGCCGATGGTAGGAAATAGACAAATTCTTGAAAAGTTTTTGTGGATTTTTTTAGTAGGTTGAGAGATAAGTTTTGAAACAAGAGCAGTAAACAGAGTCCTAACAGTCCTGATTCAGGTAAGAGGTAGAGCTTATTTATTTATTTATTTATTTTGTGTGTGGGGGGGGAGGGGGGGTGAAACCTTTTTTTTTTTTTTTCAGGGAAAAACCCCTTTCGAGGACTACAAAGAGCAATTTTATTCAAGAACTGAAAGATACGCCTAAAATGCAGTCATAAAAAAATCGGTTCTTCAACCAATAAAACAACTGATATAGATTTGTTGTGTGAGACTTATGAGTAAAAATGTACTCCAAAACAGTTATTAAGAGAGACAATAAACTGGGAAAATAAACTGGCTTTGATCAGAAAAGCAAGCCTATCTGCTTCAATGGGATATACATATAATTTGTTCCAAAGATTCTCTCTCTTAGTAAGTAAGGGTCCTTCTGAGTCCGTTAGTCATTCCTCTTTTCACCTACATTGACAAACACTAGTATAGCAACTGCCCTTCTGCATTAAAACACACACACACACACACACACACACACACACACACACCCTAGTTCCTCCTTCGGGGGTAAAGAAACATTACAATCTTCACATCTCTTCCCCTTCACAGCCAAGCTTCTTAGAAAAGTTATCTATTTTCTCACCTCCACCAGAAATGATCTTACAAAGGTCAAAAGTAACCTCCTAGCTACTGTGTCTAGTGGAGTCATTTTAATCCTTTCCCTCTTGACATCTGCAGTGTTTGACATAGTCATACTCCTTCCATCTTGAAACTATTCCTCTCTGGCTTTTTCAACACCACTCAAAACCAGTTTTCTTTCTACCTTCCTGTCCCCAGGATTCCTCTTCCTCCACCCACCTCTTAAATCATGCCCCGCCAGTCCTTATCCTTCTGAAAGTGTTACAGCAAGAATGTTCACATCTAGCCCTAGCCGGTTTGGCTCAGTGGATAGAGAGTCGGCCCTTGGACTGAAGGGTCCTGGGTTCAATTCTGGTCAAGGGCATGTACCTTGTACCTCTGTTGCAGGCTCTATGGGGTGCGTGCGGGAGGCAACCAATGGATGTTTCTCTCTGTCTCTTCTCATCTCTTTCACACTCTCTAAAATTCAATGGAAAAATATCCTCGGGTGAGGATTAACAAAAACAAAATGTTCACTTCTAGTTATTTCAAACATTTGGGAGTGGAAAGAGATTCAGGTTTTCCCATAGTATTCATTCTTAATTTTTTTTTTTTTAACTTGGCAACCATAGTTTTATTTTTTTTTATTTTTTTTAAATATATTTTTTTATTGATTAAGATATTACATATGTGTCCTTGTCCCCACGTTTCCCTCTATCCCCCCCCCCCCGCTCATGCCCTCACCCCCCCGTTGTCCATGTCCATTGATTAGGCCTATATGCTTGCATATAAGTCCTTTGGTTGATCTTTCCCCCTTACCCCCACCCTCCCCTACCTTCCCTCCAAGTCCCGACAGTCCAATCAATGCCTCTCCGTCTCTGGATCAGTCCTTGTTCATCAGCTTATGTTGTTCATTATATTCCACAAATGAGTGAGATCCTGTGGTGTTTATCCGCTCTCAAGTTCCATCCATGCTGTGGCAAATGGTAAGAGTTCCTTTTTCTTCTTCCTCTTCTTAAAGAATACCTTTCAGCATTTCATATAATGCTGGTTTGGTGGTGATGAACTCCTTTAGCTTTTTCTTATCCGTGAAGCTCTTTATCTGACCTTCTATTCTGAATGATAGCTTTGCTGGATAAAGTAATCTTGGTTGCAGGTTCTTGCTATTCATCACTTTGAATATTTCTTGCCAGTCTCTTCTGGCCTGCATGGTTTCTGTTGAGAAATCAGCTGACAGTCCTATGGGTACTCCCTTGTAGGTAACTGACTGTCTTTCTCTTGCTGCTTTTAAGATTCTCTCTTTATCTTTTGCTCTTGGCATTTTAATTATGATGTGTCTTGGTGTGGTCCTCCTTGGATTCCTTTTGTTTGGGGTTCTCTGCGCTTCCTGGACTTGTAAGTCCATTTCTTTCACCAGGTAGGGGAAGTTTTCTGTCATTATTTCTTCAAAAAGGTTTTCAATATCTTGCCCTCTCTCTCCTTCTGGTACCCCTATAATTCTGATGTTGGTACGCTTGAAGTTGTCCCAGAGGTTCCTTACACTATCTTCATATTTTTGGAATCTCTTTTCTTTTTTCTTTTTCGGTTGGGTATTTTTTGTTTCTTTGTATTTCAAATCTTTGACTTGATTCTTGGGATCCTCTTTTCTGCTGCTGGATCTCTGTAAATTATTCTTTATTTCAGTCAGTGTATGCTTAATTTCTAGTTGGTCCTTTTTCATGTCCTCCATGGTCTCCCTATACTTATTGAGGGATTCATTAAATTTATCGGCGGTTTCCATAAAATTCTTGAAAAACCTTATAACCGTGGCCTTAAACTCTATATCCAATCGTTTGCTTTCCTCCATTTCTGCCATTTGTGACCTGTTTCTTTGTCTCCGCATTTTGGCAGCTTCCCTGTGTTGATAGAGTGGCCCTGTGCGCCAGGTGTCCTGTAGGGCCCAGTAGCTCAGCCTCCCCAGTTACCTGGGGTGGACACTCTTGGTGCACTCTTGGTGCCTTGGTTGTTGTAGAATCACTGGGAGGAATTGACCTCCAGGCCAATTGGCTGTGAGAATCAGCTGTGTCTAAAGTGGGAGAACTTCTGTGCTGAAGACACCCTTCTGGGGCAAGACTTGCTTCAGTGGGGCTTTGGTGCTCACTGAGTCTGCTCCCTGAGTGCGTCCCTTATGGATCTGAGGAGTTGCAGTCTGGATGGACTCCCTCTGATCACTGGGTACAGTGGCTCCTGGATCTAAGGAGGTGCTAATTCAGCCTCTGCCTGAGGCCACACAGCAGGAGCCACGAAGAGGCTCAGCTGTGAAGCAATGCAAGCCGCTGCGGGGCCTTGGGCCTTCTCTTGGAAGTTCCAGGTCTGCCTGGTTCGGCTGCAGTTAGGTACATTCACATGCAAAAGCCTCTGCCGCAGCCTGGGTGGGGCGGGGTCTCAGGGAGTCAGAGGGCGGAGAAAGCGGCCATGGCCGATTCTCCGCCCGGAGTCGCGCGTCTCAGTGTTCCGGTAACGGCTGCAAGCACCTCTGAGGGAAAGCCGCCCTCAAGTTCGCTCGCTGCCGGACAGACCAGCCTCTCCCCGTATGAGTCCTGGATCCCCAGAGACTTCCCGGAACCGGAGTTCAGAGCAGTCAGGAGTTTGTGATTCAAAAAGACAGCCGCGTCCTCAGGTGCCACCCCCTTTCCTCGCGTGCGCGCGCCGCTGTACCTCTGCACTTCACCTCCGCAGTGCCTCTGGCTCTCAGAGTGCTTTTCTTTCCTTCTAGTTGTGGAATTTACACTCAGCCAGCCTTCCTGTTGTTCTGGATGATGTTTGCTCAGTCCTTTGCGGTAATTTTCAATTGTTGTGTGAGGCGATAATTTCCCGGTGTTTACCTATGCCGCCATCTTAGTTGCTCCCATTCTTAATTTTTTATGGAAAATTTCAAGCATACACAAAAGGAGTAAGGTAAAATAATAAATCTCCATGTATCCATCGCCCAACTTCACTATTACCAACACTTTATCTTCCTTGCTTCACCTATTCTCTTATTATGTGTTTCCCTTCTGATGTATTTTTAAATAAATCTCTAGTAAACTGTCATAACATTTCACATGTAAATACTTCATATGTATTATCTCTAACAAAGACTTTTGTTGTAATATAGCCAAAATATTATCATACCTTACAATAATGTTTTTTGTAATCCTCACCTGAGGATATTTTTCCATTGATTTTTAGGTAGAGTGGAAGAGAGAGAGAAAGACAGAAAGAAATATCGATGTGAGCCCGACCAGAGCCCAGGCCGGGGAGAAGCCTGCAACAGACGTAAATGCCCTTGACCAGAATCGAACCTGGGACCCTTCAGTCCGCAGGCCTACGCTCTATCCACTGAACCAAACCAACTGGGGCCAAAATGTCTTTTTTTAAAAAAATATGTTTTTACTGATTTCAGAAAGAGGAGGGAAGAGAGACAGACAGAAACATCAATGATAAGAGAGAACCATTGATCCTGCATGCCCCCCACTGGGTACGAGCTGGAAACCGGGCACCTACCCTGCCCTGGAATCAAACCGTTACTTCCCTGTCAGGCCTTCTCATGTCTCAATTAGGTAACCCTTGAGCCTGTGCATTAGGATAAAAAAGCTGTGGGGCAAAGAATGTGTACAAACTATTTATTTTTGTTGTTGTGTTTTTTTTTTATGTATTTTTATTGATTTCAGAGAGGAAGGGAGAGGGAGAGAGAGAAACATCAATGATGAGAGAGAATCATTGATCGGCTGCCTCCTACACACCCCACACTGAAGACTGAGCCTGGAACCCAGGCATGTGCCCTGACTGGGAATCGAACTGTGACCTCC